TGCATTTCAATCGATTTAAAATAGCATAGTGGTTAAAATTAAAATAGTGGTTTATTTTAAGCATTAGTTTCGGTAGTTTTCGTGTGTATTAAATTATTATACATTTTTTAAGACATGTTATGTAGTTACTTTTTATACGTTTTTTTTTTAAAGCCTCATTATTATTTAGGTATTATTTTTTGCTTTCCAGGATTTTATATTATATAAAAAATATAATGAAAACGAATAAAAAAGCAAAACCACACACTGAATATATATATATATATATATATATATATATATATATATATATATATATATATATATATATATATATATAATATAAAATTAATGTTTTTTGGGTTTAGGTTCAACAACGATATATTACATGTGGAACTAGATTTTATATTCCATAGCAATCAATCAACGTTTCGGCAGGAAACCCTTGCCTTTGTCAAGATTCTAAAATGTATATGTATAAGGACAAACAGATATTATAAAATATCTATATATACACACACATTATATATATATATATATATATATATATATATATATATATAAATATATATATATACATATATACATATATACATACATATACATATATATGACTTACCAAAACGTAAAACGTGACATAGACATTAACGAACTGACAAATAAAAGTTGATATCTGTTATCTCATTGTTTTCTGTCATTAGTATATAATTATTTTTATAGGGGCGTATCGTTGGTGTTTTCGAAAAAGGGTAAGGTGGAGATATGTTATGACTTTAAGGGCTTTTTATGATGTTATATTATTATCGTAAGTTTTGGAGTTTGTGTTATGAGTTTTGTGAAATATTTATTTAAGAGGTTGTTGCCTTTGTTGGCCACTGTTATATTATGTTTGGCTAAAAGATTTGTTAGTTTTTCGGATAAACCTTTTATATATGGAAGAGTTGTATAAGTGGTTTTGATACTGTTGGGTTTGTTGTTAGTTCTATTGTTATAAAATTTATTGAGTCTTGATTTGGAAATAATTTCGATTAGATGTTTGGGATATGCATTCTTGAGAAGGGCATTTTTTGATTTTTTTATTGCAGTTGGTCTGTATTCTGGATCTGTTAGTTTTATAGATTTATCAGCGAGACTTATAATTACAGACTTCTTATGGGAACATGGATGATGGGAATTGTAGTTAAGGTATTGTGAAGACCATGTTTCTTTTGTATACCACATGGTTTTAACTGTATTGTTAATGCGATGTAAGCTGATATCCAGAAAGTTTATTTTATTATTTGGTTGAATTTTTATAGTGAAATTTAATTTTGGATGGTAACTGTTGGAAATTTTTAAAATTTCGGTTGTTTTATTTGTTGGAATAGCACAGATACAGTCATCGATATAGCGGTAGAAGAATGGTACATTAAAATCTAAATGACTCATGACAGATTCTTCTCAGTCTTCCAGAACCAGTTGGGCAATGACACTAGAAATACTTGCACCCATTTCACATCCATCCATTTGTTGGTATATTTCGTCCTTATATAAAAAGTATGTTGAGTTTAACGTTAACTCTACAGATGATTGAAATTCTTGCAATGGGCGGATTACAAATGACATCTAAAGAGATTAATATATATATATATATATATATATATATATATATATATATATATATATATATATATATATATATATATATATATATATATATATATATATATATATAGTTGTATTAAATATATGGTTAAACATTAGAATATATTATTATGATGCTTAAGTAATTTTATTATTATATTATAATATACTAGTAAAGTCTCGACTTGCATTTTCATATCATGCTTCACATTGTCGGATCCCTAGAGAAAGGGGTACAAATAAAGTCATCATCAATTATTATAAATGCCCTCGTTGCTAGTACAAACTCATCACCGCGATAAAACCAGGGAAACCTAAACCCGGAGATATTTGCAAACTGATCACTGACCTACCTGCATCATGTGGCAAGTACAGACCATAAAATGTTTGCAAACCGCTGATGTTTGATAATTAAAAAAAGTCCAAGACCGAATGTATTAAATCCAAATGCAATGCATTGACTCGTATTAGGGAATTCTACTAACTTCTATTCTAGTCCATACACCGAATAAATATAATATAAATAAACGAATCAGTTAAATTTTAAAGCAATTTTCTTATAACTTCTTTGAATGTAATAAATTACCACATAAACAAAAAGTGTAACATATAACAGGCAATCTTTCGCATTAGAAATCAGCGCCTTGGAGCAAAACTGCTGGTGATGAGTTTACCTATATCCAAATTCTGATGATCAGTTTGCTATATCTCGGAGAGTCCAATAATTTTTGGAGGGCTATAAAGTGAAGAGATACGAGATAAGTTTTATTAGCCATTTTTATATTATCCTTGTTGTCATTATACTGTGGTCTAGGTTGGGAAGCTGCTTCCGTAGTAAGAATGTTTGTGATTCGGTTTCTTTGCGAATTCCTGTTGAAAAATATCCTCTTTACAAATCAGAAGAGTGCTGGGCGAAATTTTTGGGCAGAAATTGTTTATACGATTTTTTAAACAAATTCCAAAATGATGTTTTTGCTCAGGAAAATAGTTTCTTTAGGTTTGACTTTACATTTGAGTCATGTAAACAAAAAAAATTTATTTTTCTCTAAAGTTGAGTTTTTGAGTCATAAGCGATTTAAATAAAAAAAAAATGCGAAAATACGCGTTTTCCAGACTTGAAAATTTATAATGTAAATTATTATCTTTGAGGTTATTAAGTGCATAAATTGAAGTATAAACATTCAATTTCAAGATTTTGAAGAGCAATCGGGGCTTATTAATAATTATGTGCGTCCACTCGATTTTTAAGCCTTTAAAACTTTTTGTTTAAATGACTCAAAACCTAAAAAATATTTACCGGAGCAAAAGAAGTAATTTCTGGAATTTGTTTAAAAAATTGTTTAAACAATTTCTGCCCAAAAATTTCGAATGGCACCATTCAGATTTGTTTAAAGTGGACATTTTTTAACAGGAATCCTCAAAGAAACCGAATGAGAAACATTTTTCCTACAGGAGTGGCCTCAAAACCTGGACAACATAGAGTAAAATAATAGTTGATACTGTATGTTTGATAAACAAAACATACACCAATAATTGCCGAAACTGAAAATCAGAAACCATTATAATCTCACTATAATTTATCGGAGGAACTGCTAGGAGAGGTGGGAACGATTTTTTGAATGTGTTAACAGTTGAAGAAATGCAGAGTGTGAAACGCACAGTGTTGGCGACTTTTCTCGCAGCATTCTGTTTTCCGTCACTCCATAGATATATTTTGTTATAGTTTCATTTTCTTTTAGTCGGAACTATTTTGCACTGCCTTCTAATATTTTCACCTTTTCCTATCATATAAAGTTTTTCAAGCTATTCTTCTAAGTATAAGACTCGACCTTTTGTCACCCAATATGGACCAATTATCAGTGGAGAACTGTCTAACGGCACTGAAGTCTCAATCTGCCTACTTTTGTCTCAATTCACTACAATTCACTACATTTTTTATATTTTTTTTAAATGAAAGCCCAACCAAACTTTACATTTACAATGTCAACCAATAAATATCACCTCATTCTGGATGGTGACTAGGCCACTACCGAGCCGTATACGTATGTGAATTCATGGCTTATCTCAATTACGATTTTTTAAATTTCTTTGTATCTAGTCTTTTAATAGTGTACAAAAAAAGATGATACAGTAGGCGGTACAATAGACTAGCTTAAATAATATTTTTAAAATTAAATAAAGTATCTTGATTATTTATTTTATTATTTATATTTTAAATAAATTATATTCTATTAAAATATTTCAGTTAATTATTGTTTGCTCTTAACGCTTCTGCTAACGTACTAACGAAGCATATAACGATTAGATAGTAACGTACTAACGATTTGACAGACCTGTCAAATCCAGACGAGATATTAAATTTAATTAATATACAAACTAAATAACATGTTTAAAAATAATAATTATATTTATATGAAATTATTTTAAAGCTAGAAGTATTGTAAATATTTAATCAGATGATTCAATATTGTTATTATTTGGATGACATTTATTATTTAAAACATTTTATAAACGTAATTTTTTACTTCTCATTTAATGTCTGTATTTTGTTAGTTATTTTTCATGTAGTTTTTAATTTAAACCTACTTCGAATAAAGATCTGATGACTAGAATCGAATTGATCGAGAGTAGTGACTCGATATGAAGAATCGCTGTTTTGTGACACTACCCGTGACGCCTTCTTCTCGTGGCGCTAGTTTCGTGACGCTTGTCTCAGCATTTTACTTTCGAGAAAAAAGCAATACAACGCCAATATAGTAGCTTCGCTTCAAAAATCTAATTCAAATAGAGTGGCATCGAATTCTAAGAGATATTTTGTCGGTATCAAGATTGTTTTTTATCTCATTATTTTAATGATTACAAAAATTATTATCACACACATATAATGACTTATTGTAATGACTCATTAATTTGCATAATCTTATTTGGAATGTCGTTTAATAATATTTGCTTTTATCATTTGTGACATGTGCTTTGATGTATAGAAATAATTCATTAATATTTTCACTTACAACAGTTGCTAAAAGAAAACCATCCGTGATAGAATTGAAAGTATAAGAAAAACAATGCACAATAAATATAATTCACCGCTTCAAGGTACTGAACATTGCCATGTATCGATAGGCATTTGAGAGAAAAGAGTCTTGTTTTTGTATTGATTTAAGATATTTTTACTATTTTAAATCTCTGACAACTGAACTAAAGTTGTTATTTTAGTTCCGTTCTGAAGAAAGATGTTATTGATTGTAACAATTCTCGTTTAAGATACATTAAACCCTCTTCTATATCAGTATTATTCTTACATTTTGCCAGACAGTCCAGATGGACCTTCATTTTATTTCTTTTAAATGTTAGCATTAATAAATCATGTTTTTTTCTATTTTAGGCACTAATTCATTATGAATGAAAGACGAGGAACGAAGGGCCTGGAACTATGGTGTCGCAAAATGACAGAAGGTTATCCTGGAGTTAAAATCGATAATATGACGACATCTTGGAGAGACGGACTCGCTTTTTGTGCCATAATACATCACTTCAGACCAGATCTTATGTAAGTTTATAGTAAATTGTTTATGTATTATAATCCTTAAGAAGGAATTAAGATTCATTCACTCCATTTAACAATAAACGCCAAATTGTGTTCTAAAAATTTAAATATACAACATTAAGCTAGCAATATAATCGTATCAGACAATAATCATCTGAATCGTTAATCAAAACAAGACTTTTTCTTCTTCTTTAAATGTCTTGTCCTCTAAGAACATTGGCGACCAGTCGTATGACCCTTCTCATGTTGAACAGTGTCAAATGCTTTTTCGTAATCAACATCTGCATCAACATTTACATCTCGATATCTCTGTATAAGAACCCAAATTGTAAATAATGCTTTTCTTGAATCAAAGCCACTTTTGAACCCAAATTAAGATTTGCCAATATTTTCTTAATATTTGGTATATATTGTGAAGTTTATATAGTTCTAATTTATATGTCTTTATTCTAATTTATTGTCTATAATCTAATTTATTAAAACTCACGATAGCTAATTACTAATTTATTAAATAACTTTACAAATGTATTTATTTCACGTTTCGTTACATTTAAATATCGCGGTTACCGAGCTTCTTATGACTGACTCAAATACAAAAATCTTTCATTTATATACACAACTGTTGTCATCTGGAACTTTCGGCAAACTTCCTGAATAATCTCGTATTTTGGTGAAGGCGCTCGACTCGTTTTTCAACCTCGAGACGTGGATGACTCACTAAAATTAGTGTCTAGAGATTTCTGTAAACAACTGGTAGCGAAGCTCAGGTATATTTTGACCTACAAATTACGAGAATCAATAAAAAAGAATTAGTCATAAAATATTTACAGTTCTATATGCCATAACATTTAAAATCGTAACAATATTCTGGAGTGAATGATTTTCAGAAATAACTTTAACGCATGGACTCAAAAACTCGTTGTTCTGTACTCTTGCAATACTTTCTATTAGCCGTCTTAGGTATCACCACAGTGATTAAATGTTGACCTAAACCAGTTGAGCAAGCTTAATGGGAGTGAGATTGGGCTATCTTTTTTCAAGTATTTTAAAACACTCTATCAATATTCCGTATGATTCCTATGTATTTCCATCTTCAGTGCTTTCTATAATGTTAAGTTCTTCCTTAGTGATGTCGGTACCATCACATGCAATAATATTTTGTGAGTTACCCCTATTATCTAGAAAAATATTTTCAATATTTGTTGAATATTCAGAAGAATGCTACTATTGCTCTTTTTATATTGACCTGGTGTTTGTCTGATTTGCTTATACATATTAAATGAGCCATGTTTAGCCTCTACCTTGGCTATAGCTCTGCATTGTGCCAATAACCATTCTTGATTCGCTATAGAAGACTCATTCAAGTAATAAAATAAAAGTGTTTGCAGCATATCCAAGCAATAATAACAAAAATAGTGACGATTCACATTCCTAGAATCTTGTATCTCATTTTAAAGCACATGCAATGCCAATATAGGTATTATAATTAATAACAGTATAGTTAATCCTAAAACTAATACAGTCTCAAATTTTATCAATTATTCCAAATTTTATGAGTCAATTTAAACGTAGTCAAACATTATTCTAATAATTGATATAAAGTATAAATAGACTTTAGAGACCTCAGAAAACATATTGATGCAACGTTTTTCATTCGTTACTTAGTATTTCTCTGATGCAATGTTTTGCCCCACAATAATTCTAATGTGAAACAAATTAATGCAATATCTGCATGAGATTTTTATGAGTAGAAATTATAGTCCTACTTCTGAATATCAATTATTAGCGAGAGGTAGGAAAAACATAAATTTATTATTAATTAAATTAAGCTAAACCGAATGTATATTCCGTAATAAATTTCCAATGTGAATTATTTAGTGTTATTAATAATTCACTACCTAACTTTTAAACTGTAAACAAATGAGTAATTAAAACTACCAAATAAACCTAAATTTGAACACAAGATTAACTAGCAGGACTAGTTCTGGCAAATTTTGACTATAATGTTAAATAGGAAATGAAGTGGCTGATAACTGATAGAGTTGGAAGGACTCACTTCGCTTTGAGTTGTATTAGTACTAATACTACTATATTCAAATATCGCAACATTTGGTGAGATATGGTCTTATGGCTTATTAACCTGTCGAAAAGACTACCGAACAGAATCTAATCCTGCGGCAAGCCGGATTTAGGACCGAAAGTCATGCACTGCACAAGCACTTGCACTCACTGAGTACCAGAGTGGCTACTAGTAAAAATGGAATACTCGCATTGGTTGATTTGTTCGCGGGTTACGACACCGTAAACCACAAGGTGCTCATTCATATCAAAGACCTTAAAATAACTAAAGACCTTAATCTAGCAAAGCTGTTCAAGACATGACCTTCTATAGACTAGAGGCTACGCTAAAAGCGGCACTGTCCACCACTGAATCATATGACAAGAACTTCCTAAAATCCAACCCCAATAAATGTAAAATTTTTGCTTTTTACCTTAGAAACAAGAACGCACATCGACAGCTGAAAGTATAATGCAGATAAATGGCCCTGGAACACACTTCCAGCCCAAAATATCTCAGAGTGGTACTAGACAGAATACGCCCACGAATAACCTCATTAGAAATTACCAAGGAGTCGGTGGGGCGCAAATCTTACAGTTCTCAAAACAACTGCACATGCCTTATGCTACTCGATAGGGAAATATGCATATCCGGTATGAAGCAGATCTATATATGCAAGATACGTAGATTTAGCCTTAAACCACACATGCTGAAAAATTACCGGGTGGATGAAACCTATTCTTTCTTCTTAGAGTGCCGTCTCCCTACGGAGGTTGGCAATCATAATGGCTATTTTTATTTTAGAACTTGCTGCTCTAAACAAATCAATCGATCTGCATTGATACCAATCACGTAGATTCTTTAACCATGAGTTCTGCCTTCGGCCAACAGATCTTCTTCCTTGAATCTTTCCCTGTATTATGAATCTCAAAATTTCATATTTTGGTCCCCTCATCACGTGGACTATTTATTCCAGTTTTTTGGTTTGTATAGTGGTGATAGTTCCGTTTCTTTACCAATCCTCTCCAGTACTTTTTTATTTTTAATTCTCTCAGTCCATCATATTTTCAATACTCTGAGGTATAACCAGAGTTGGAAGACCTCGATTCTGTTTAAATTACATTTTTTTAATGTCCAAGTCTCAGCTCCATATAATAATATTGAAAATATATAACAGCGAATGGTACGTGGTCTGATCTCCAAATTTAGATTTTTCACGTTAGGAGTGGCTTCATTCGTATAAATGCTGATCTGGCAATCTCTATTCGTCTGTTTATTTCTAGAGTATGATCATTGGTTTCATTTACTAAAGTTCCCAAATACTTATATTTTTCTACTTGTTCTATCACGTTACCATTGATTGTCAATAGGTGATGTATATTTTGTGGTCTTTTTCTAATTAGCATTTACTTCTTTATTTTTTTAGCATTTATAGTAATTCCCATCTCAGCACTATTCATACTCAAGCTTTCGATAAGATGTTCTAGATCCTCTATACTCGTTGCTATAATCATAGTGTCGTCTGCATATCTTAAGTTGTAAATTAATTTTCTGTTAACGGTGACTCCCGCTTCGATTTTATTGAGCGTGTTTTAGAAAATTTCTTCAGAATATAAGTTAAACAAAAGTGGTGATAAAACACATCCCTGTCTAACTCCTCTACAGAACCTCACTTCTTCTCAGTGTTGCCCATCAATTTGAACTATGTCACTTTGGTTCCAATGTAATGTTTGCACTATAATTATGATTTTACTGTCAATGCGCTTGTTTATAAGTATTGATATTAGTGAAACCTATAGAGCCGTGAAATTAATAAATATTTACTTTTTCATAACTAACCCAATGACAACGACCACCTTATAGTAAAATTAGCACTACACTGATCGTTCCAGACCCTAGCCGTGTCGGAAGAATAAAAGGTGTAAGTATGTGCTATGCATCAGCTTCCAACCTTCCTTTGAACCGTGTTGATCTACCGACAAACGACGAGACAGCAGACAGTTTTGCCCTATCCCAGAGATCGTAAACCACAAATATTGAAAGGAAAACTATATTTCACATTGCGTTGGTTCCCGTCTTTAGATTTTGTTTTTTCTATGATGGAGAATTTTATTATTCTGTCTTATTATTCTGTCAGAATCCGATTTAAGATCGACACAAAGAACTCATAATGCGAATGCGGTAAAGTTCAGAACATGAAACACCTACTGAAGTGCAGACAATGTCCTGAGGTCGTATTTTCCATACCAAATTAGAAGAAATTTGCTCAAAACCCAGTTTTTTGTATTTTCGAATACTGTGTGTACGATTTTTTTCGTATACGGCAACTCGAATGGGTCCGAACCATTCTAATTTCGATGTTAGTATACGATCAAAGTAATTGTTGTCATTTCAGTTATCACTGGCCCTGTACATCAGATAAAATTTCAGCTGATAATTTTTAGTCGTTGTTATATACAGTATTTTACATTGAACTTTGTTTTCAATAGCAGGTTTAAATAATGTTTTAATAGATATAAATTATACAGATTAACAAAGCCCATCACAATGTAGTTGATAGGCTTGAATACCACTTTTTTTTGTTCGGCCAACACCGAACCAATATACTTATTGCCCTTTTTTGTACTCCTTCAGCTAATTTACAAGAAACAAATTGTTTTAGATGACAAAATCACCATAAAATAGGTTAAGTAAAACTGTCAATTATTCTTCTTTTTTTATTATTTGAGTTTTGGTTGTTCGAATTTGCAGTGTTGCCGTTACAAATTCTTCTCGTATACGTATACCATTTCGAAGGATGTTCAAAAACATTCGAACATAACTCATGTAGGAAAAAATTCGATTGAATTCGGAAAATACGACTTCTGGTAGATGCACTTTCGAATTTGTTGACGATCTTTTTTTTATATTGTAGAATGAAACTATTAAAAATAATTATTAGTTA